CAAAGATTAATTCATTTTCCATCACTAACCAGTTTAACGATTTTTACTATCTGGTCAAACAACATGTGTGTCAATCAAGTCAATTCATGCAATTACTATGCTATGTGTTTAAGTTAAACAAATTAAGTTAACCACTAAATGTAATATATTACTTTATCTGTCAACCATTAAGACCAATTGCAGTGAAAATATGGCGCAATTTCTGGTATATAAATTAAATTCAGGCTTTTCACCATCTGACATGCTCACCTCATGTTACAAACATTAATACAAACATACACTCGATATACTTACTAGTGCTACCTCAATTTCAGGTTGCACAAGAGCATTTACTACAACCCGGTTATTACTCCACTAATTTATTATTAACATATGGGGGATGTTAACATACAGGGGTTTGACTATTCGTCTTGCCTAGTTAGGCCACGGCGTCAGTCGACTACTTGTCATACGTTATCATACGTTATCATCAAAGCTCTATCTCGCAACAAACATCCTGAACTCCTTTAACACCTTTCATTCCTTCACCATTTTCCCTCCATGCTTTAAGCACAATATTTTCAAGGATCGCCTTATATGGGAATTACTAACTGTTAAGACCTGCAATGCTTATGGTAATGCGGTCTTCTATTCCTTTCCCAATAGCTGAGCATAAGTGATTGTAACTGCAGTTAAGATGTAGAGGTAAATGTACATTAAGATGTATAGTGTAAATGAATGCAGCTTCCAAGATGATTCTCCCCAGCAAGTAGAATATTCCCCAAGCATGAGCCTAGACTTCATGAAGGGTGCAACAGGAATAACTTTTATTGATGCCCCATTGGCTTTTATGAGAATCCTCCTGCAAGAGGACCTCCCACAATAAACAAAGACAATAACCAATCAGCATACAGATTTACAGTAACACCCTCCCTCTCTCTGCCTGGGAGATATTGAGATAAGTTAAGGAATAACTCAATTATCTCCAGGTAGAGGGCACACAATTTTCCAAAAAATTAGAACACCCCTTTATACAACAGGTATCCCCCGATCTGGGGGACCAACATATTCAAATTTCACCCAGATTGGTTCAGGGGTTCTCAAAAATTCTGGAAGCCATAAATTACTTACCACACACGAGGCTCCTGCCCAAAACAGTTCCAGGAATTCAGCGTGTTCCTGGAATTCAGAAAATGGCATAAAAACAAATAAAGTTCCGAATGGATCCTCCTGGCTCATAGGAGCGATTGCTCCCCTTGTTCGTATGAATCAAACTACTGAATGGCGCTCTCCTGGCTGTTCAGCAACTAAAGGAAGCAGGCGTTCATATGTTTCAGGGGTGGTTAGGGAAGTCGAGTGTCCGATTTTAGTTGCAGATACTCGACGACCAAGTCCTGCTGCCTCCTTTCGAACAAACAAGATGGCCGCCATTTTCTGTTCCACGTGGCATTCGGCTATACGATCGGCGGCAGCCCAGAGAGCGCTTAATAGATGGTGCTCTTTGAAGTTAATGAGCCAGGAGGGTGGTCAGTGTTCAGTAGTTTTAAACTGCTTAACCAATAAATCCAAAACAAATGAAATGTTGCAGAAAAGCACTAACACAGAAGAAAATGCCGAAACTCAGTCTATTTTCTTCACACTAACGTTAAATAAACATATACCCGTTACACCTGCTATACCTAGTTCCTTTCCATTATTACATCCAACATGATGTATCATGCATTTACTGTTTCATCCGGCTAGGTTGAGTGAATCTTTAACAACATTGTCCATTCTATTCATGTACTATTCTGGTAATTAATTATGGGTATGTAAGTACACAAGGAACTGATAGCTATATAACTATTACCTGATAAGAAGGGGGAATGGCGATTGTCTTTTTTCATTTTAAGCCTAAACTAGTTAAAATCCATTCGTTTAATTCCCCTAAGAATGCCCCTACTTTAAGTCCAACATTATCACGTCAATACATTAAAACATTGTTGTCAGATGATGCAGGCAGATAAGTTTGGCATTTTGCAATTGAACAATCTCCATAACATTTATATATGTTTCACTAATTTATATGGAGGTTTCCTATTACCATCTGCTAAACAACATTTGATTAAGCTAGTTAATTACATGGTTAGCGTAATTTAATACCACTAATTAAGAGAAGGCTGTTACATATTTAGAGGTCACCTAAAGGAAGTCTTTTCCCTTCTAAAACAGCACCTTAATTGCAGGTTTCGGACGGCATTCTACCAAGAGACAGTTACTGGTTCTTTAATGTCTCCTGTCTCTATCAGGTACAAACACATTTCGTTCACATTTCAATCAACTGCCTCAACAAAGTTTAAGGCCGAAGTCCTGTATTTGTGGGAGGAGTTAGCGTTCCTATATAAACGCTACTCCCCCCTTCCCATGTTGCCGTATATGCACGCTGTTCACCCCACCCACCTCACCCTCTTAAACAATCCATTCGGGAGGGCCCTCTTTTACAGGCATAACCATATGTCGGTTCCGGCACACCACACCGACTTAATTCCAATCACAAGGTATTTCACTGTATCAATATTAACCGACCACAAAAAAAGTATATAACAGACATGGGGATATAGTATATGTCTCCAAAATGTACAGGCAATATATCAATTAAAAAGAGAAGAAAGGAAAAAGAACTGGTGTTAAGACATATATAAAAAATTATGGTAATCATATAAAGTGAAAGTTTGCAACTGTTGTAATATATAAAGTGTAAAACAGACTGATCAAAGTTTCCAATAACATGTTCCCAAATATCATTACAATGTCTCCTAATGTACTTTGAAACATGTTCTGACTTGTTTTTTCAAGGTTTCCAAATAGGCAGAGCTTATATAAGCTCCTAATGTTTAAAAACTTTTAGAGACAATAGCAGCAGTTGTGGTATAAGAAAAAAATAAAAAGAAATTATAAACGGAAAAAAATAAAAATTGTCATAATTATTTTTATAGTTTCAAAACATGTTTCAACTCATTTGGAAATGAGCCCTAAAAGGAGAAGTGCATATATATGTGCAAAATCTTCCAGGATAAACAGTTACAATAGCAGCGATTCTAATTGATAAAATAGGGAAATGGACAGAATAAGACAGCTAATGTAAATCTTTAAAATGTCATAATTGTTTAAATAATTTGAAAACATATTTTAGCCCTTTTAAACGGACATTACAAAAGAAGTGCAGTGTTAGAGAGAGATTAGGGAGGAGTCTGAAAATATCTTTAAAAATATATCCATAAACGGAATGACTAGCTTATAATAGTTTTTCATGATCTAATAGGATTAAAAAAATAAATAAAATACATAAATAGTTATAAAAAATGGCATAGTTCAAAATCTGAGTTGAGACCATGGGGGATTTGGGTGTTCATTCTAAAAATCCACTCCATATCAGTTCTTTAAATTTTTTTGAATAAAATTTTGTCCTCTCCAATTAGTCTCCACTTTTTTTACACCCATAAGTAATAAACATTTAGGATCATGATGATGGGTTTGTTTAAAATGACAAGAGACACTATGTTTGTCCTTTTTTGTATGTTACGGAACATACATCCTTTTTTGTATGTTGCAGATGTGTTTTCCAATTCTAACATGTAATGGGCAAATGGTACGACCTATGTATCTTAAACCACAGGGACATTCCAAAAGGTAGATAATATTTTTAGAATAACAGGTTATAAAATCTTTTATGTATGTTACTTTGCCTCCTTTAATATCAATACTATTAATTATTCTTCTACTATTGCCTGATTTCTCACAGGCTGTGCAGTGTCCACAGCTGTAGAAACACTTTTCATTGTTAAAAAAAAGTAGAGTGATGCTTTTTTCTTTAATAAAACTGTTCACCAAGGAGCTCTTTAGATTTCTCCTCTGTGTATAAATCTGGGTTTTTCAGGTAAGAACATTTTTAAAAGAGGATCCTGTAGTAAAATAGGCCAGTATTTGTATATGATTTTACAAATTCTGTGTTTTTTTACTATTAAAATTACAAATAAAAGGAAAATTTTTCATAACTTTGTTGTTTTTAGTTTTATATTGTAACCTATCTTTTCTCTCTTTATTTTTAATTTCTCATCGTGATTGTTCTAACATATCTTACTCATATCCCTTATATTTGGAAAATCGATTTTTATTTTTAATCGGTTATCAAACATTTCTGTATTTCTTGTTGTGTCATTTTTGGAAAAGTTACACTTTGGTGTTAAGCTGCTATTTATAATTTTTCGTCCCTGGAATACCTCATTCATTGTATAAATAATACCCTTTTCTAAAGCGCTAGTACCTATGACCTTTGTTCTTCTATTTTACACTTTTCCAATAGAGGTACACAGCTGCTAAGAACAATATGTCTTTATTCGAGAAAAGAAAGAACACATATAAATAATGAAGCCAAACTGGTCTATTGGACAGAAATAACAGAAACAATAAATAAAGGGGAAATGTATAAAATTAGCGACCAGTTAGAAAGACTAATGCAGAAAGAATTAAAAATAAAATGGGAGATAGCTACCCTTGAAAAGTATCTCAAGGAATAAATAACTCAGAGAGGACTCATATTTTAAAATGCCTACTTTTGACAGGGATATAAGCAGTTTTATGGAAGAATGGAACAATATGCTGGATAGTTTTTCATTCAACAGTATGAGCCTTATAATTAAAAGGAGAAAGGAAAACCTTAACAAATTAACAAATGTCGAGATACCTTATAGAATACATTAAACCAACAACAGTTTGAAAATAATATCTTTAATGTAGAGAAAAACCCTTAATAAATTAGAAAGAGATATCATAGAGGTTAAAAAAAGAAAATATCTTCGAGAAACCCATGATTATAAACTTAAACAAGTTAAACAAAATACTCACTCTACCATAGATAAAAGATATACATCAACTGTATCAGAGGAAAATAGAATCCAATATAAACATAAAAGAGAAAAAAAACTTTAAGAATAAATAAAAACCATTCCACTCAAAATGACAACTATAATAAAAGGCCCTATGATGACTTCAGATATAGAAAAGATTCATGTAGAAGGAGAGACAGTTATACCTATCCCCATGGTAGAGTCTTAAGAGAAGGTATCTACCAAACAAATAGAAGGGAGTCGAACAAAGACCAATACAAAACTTCCACAAGACATTTTACAACAAGCCCTCATTCCAAAAAGGATCAAATTCCATTACATAACCATTACGAAGTTTAAGAAAACCACAGAGATGAGGAGGTTTTTGGGCAGAGTTGAACGAAAGGGTGACACAAGAGAGACCAAGTGTCACAGGTGGTGGTCCAAAGACCAGGACCCCTTTGTGCCTGATGAAGATTGGAGTTTCAGCATGGAAATAAACAATCAGGGCCCTGATGCAGCTTAGCGGATGCCAGGAGATGATATTAAGCAGACCTCCCAGGATTTGGATAGGTAGGCTTTGCAGCAGATATGTATCCAGTACTAGAAACAAGGCAAGATTAGAACAGGCATCAAACAAGAAAACAAGACTAGAAGAACCCAGAACCAGAGCAGGACAGAAAGAAGAACCTAGAACATGTATACTATACATGAGGGAAACATTAACAGGACATAGGCAGGACAGCACTGTACATAAACTGGGAATATAAGACAAAATAAAACAAGACAAGAGATACAAGGCAAAACAAGAAGAGACATAACTAAGTATGTATATATATATATATATATATATAATGAAAAAAATATAGTAATGTCAAACACTACCAAACATACAACACCCAGTGTTATAAAAAATTTACAAATATGTATACTTCCCAATAGACATCCACTGTAGGTGAGTAGAAGTATCACTCTTGGGATCTATAACAGATAAATATAACCACCCATAGCGTAATCTGTACAATTGTAAAGAATAAGTAATAATAAAAGCTACACTCACACGTATAGAGCCGTGCCAGGCTCTATGTAAAGAGCAATAGGGTGCCAATATTTGGCTTTGTTGGTGTCTTTGAAGCAAACTCAGGGTATATTCCAAAAAACAATTTATTTAAATAAAAAAATATTAAAACAGGACATATGTAAGCAGTGTGCAAAAAAAAAAAAAAAAATACATACATACACTACCGCAATAATATGCAAGTCCTATTAAATAAAAGATAAAGTGCAGACGCGTTTCAACTGGATCCAGTCTTCCTCAGTGGAAAATATATTCCTTTCTTGATTGAAGTCCCATTTCTCTGCTGCAATGCCGTACCATTTCCTGGTCACGTGGTTTTCAGCGTTGACTTCTGGTCACATGTATGCGTCATTACGGCGCACATATGAAGTAATTTCCGGTTGGTACTATTCCCCTGTATATTATGCCGGAACCACTATGTCATCCATATTGGAAATGGGCAACAGTGCCAGAAGTGTAATATTATATCTAAAAATCTCAACAAAACTATAATTAATATTCATAAAACAAACTGATAATATATCATCCATGCCATATTACACTTTTAGCACTGCTGCCCATTTCCAATATAGATGATATAGTGGTACTTCTATTCACCTACCGTGGATGTCTATTGGGAAGTATACATATTTGTAAATTTTTTATAACACTTGGTGTTGTATGTGTTTGGTAGTGACATTACTATATTTTTTCATTATATGTTTTGAGGTGATTGGGGAAACACCTGTGATTTGCGATACACACCCGAAATAATCTAATTCAAAGCACCCAAACACCTGCTGATTTTTCAGTATATTTTACTGTGTAAGTACTATATATGTTATAAACATTGGAGATTTCGACATACATAAATGGCCAAGATGTATGCTGCCACCACTGCGCCAAAGTACTCCAATTATGGTGGGTCATAACTGCCTAGATATGCATGACTAAATAAACAACCATAAAACACACACAGTACTTACCTGCAAAGAAAGGAGCAGATCGAATGAGACCACTGCTTGCAGGAATAGACAATCAAAAAGGATTAATGGCAAAGAAATGGGTGTGGCAACAAAAAAACAAACATTTAAAGGAATCCAGAAGACTGGGAATTCTAGGAAGGGAATAAAGGAATTAACACAGAAAACCCAGGATAAAGAAAACCACACATAGAATAGAAAACCAGAAAAAGCAAGAAACACTTAACAAGAATTGTAAAAAGAGTACTGGATATCAGAAGCCAAGACAGAAATGATCCGCAACAGGAGCAGGATGTGACACCAAGAAACAAAATGGATCAACTCAAAAAGAAGAAGGTTGTCAGAAGAAGAGGGACAAGAGCAGGCAGACTTATACAACACAGAAAGAAGGGAAAGGCACTAGAAATACCATCTAAAGTAATTTTTAATCTTAGTGACAACAAATTAAATATACATCATAAGACAGTTTTAAATAAAGGCCATAAATTTGCCACAAGTCAGAATCTTAACCATTTTGAAATGTATATAGACTTAAATAGGTTTAAAAGAAACTTTGTTTAAAAAGATTCTTCCTAAAAAATCCAATTGAGAGAAGAAGTAGGAAATATATGTAAATTTAAACAAACATAACTAATAAATAAATCATCTTTCTACCCTAAACACATGATTTATGACAAAATGATATAATCTGAAACTATGGTAATGACAGAGATAAAAAAAAGATACCCTTGAAAGACAAATTTAGAAATAATCTCACTATAATGGAAAAACAAGCCTTGAAAGATTTAAAAGATGACCCAGATCTAATCAATAAACCTGGGAATAAATGTCTAAATATAGTAAACTGAATAAAAATGACAATGGTGAAATTAGTAAACTATTCCTCAATTTTTTTAAGAAAGGTTTGAAGGAAGGAAGTCTAAACAAAAAAGAATTTGATTTTCTAAATATAAACATAAAAAAATTCCTGTATTTTATTTTATACCAAAAGTCCACAAAGACATAAAAAATCTCCCAGGAAACCTATCATGTCAGGTGTAGATGCTGTCTCAAGTAAACTTTCTCAGTACATCAACGTTCTACTACAGCCACTAGTACAAAAAACTAAATCACATATTAAAGACACAATATTAGTTTTAAAAGTTTAAGAAGCATTCAAATGGGAAAAGGAATATATTTTAGTAACGTGATGTTGCGGCACTGTATAACAGAATATCTCATGAATATGGTTGTACGGCAGTAGAACATTTTTTTAAATAAATTAACAGAATTATGGTGGCCATGCCAGTAATGTAAGTAGCAATTTTTTATTTTTTTTGGCATTTACAGAGACTGGATGGCTACTTTCCGTAGAAAATAACTAAAGTTATTTCTGTACATTGCAGTTTCATAAATAGACATAATATTGTTTTCAGCTAATGGCTTGCTGAATTTAAATTTAAATTTAAATAAACTTGCAGAATATGGACTATGGTACTTCAGTTGATGCATCTTCTCCCATATCGGAGGAAATGGTATTTGCTAAAGAACAAATGAAGATTATGCTGAGTTTATGGCCCCTGCGCGCATACTTGGGATATATTGTTAAGTCTAATTTTATCTCATATCCTGTGTTGACTTTTTTCATGCACAGTTAGGGATTTGTTTTTTTCTTTGCAGAAAATTGAAGCTACAAAGATTAGGTTCTATCAGAGTATGATTTATAAACCTGTTCAATTTCAAAATCCATGGTTGTTATAGAAAGCTTATTTTAGTCAACAAAAGGACCTTATTTTTCTGATTTGTAAGGTCCATGTTGCTCTTAGCTGCAAAGAAGAAAAGCTATTCTTTCTTAAAATTACTTTGTTACTAATCATGATATAGAAAAAAATCCAAATAATCCTACAATCCTGGTTTTGATCAGTTTCTTGTATTCTTGGTCAAATAAACAAGAACACAAAATCAAAAGTTAATCAGTTTTGTGTCTGGTAAAATATCGTATTGGTACTCTATTTCAAGTCAATAAAGTATATAATAAAATATGTTCACCCCTGTGTTAAGATATCTGGTATATACATGTAGTTACTGTTCAATATTTTGAAATATATTCATGATATAATTTTAAAATATCATTCTTTACATGATATTATCAGGAGGCACTCTAAATCCAGTTCACACTGTGAAATTGATGTTTTATGGTAAAACGTGTTAATATGTTTCCAAGGTTCTGCTTATTGTAGTTTTTTTCTATAAGTTTAAAATAAAAGCTATGTCTAAAATATATTTCTCTACCCAATGTGCTTGTGAAAGTTAATTCAATCCACAAAGACAGTAAATGTAAAGAAAGATGGTAAATTAATGAGGTAGTTTTCATTTAAATGCAAAAATGATAACATGATGCCAATTCGTACCTTGAATGGTGAGGTAGTTAGGGAAGAAATATGATATGAGTCTTAAAATATTATCTATATAGAGCATTCGCCCAAGACAAAATTTGGGATATATCTGTTTACCTGTATGTCTCTTAAATAGTAATCAGTAACAGGCAATAACAATTCCCCAGATATTGCTGCTGATGCTAGCAAACAGAGAAGTTGCAAAAACACCTGAGGCTTGAGCTAAAAGCTAAATTGATCACCTCTACATTAACAAAATGGTGGGCATATGTCAAGACATATGCTCTCCTCCTTAGGTTATTTCCCCTCATCTCTACCCATGAACAGCATGCTGCTTATGATCTCTAGTATAACAAAAAAAAAACTGATTTCTTATTCAATGTGATCATGTCCTGCTATGTAACTAATAGTGGGGTGTGGAGCAAAGTTCTGTTCTACTGTATCCCCTTTTCCCTTAGTAGCCTTCCAGAAAAAATCTTTCATTTTTACATCAGGTGGAGGCTTTGAGTAACATTAAAAATTATTGTGCCCCCTCTACTACCTGTAGCTTCTAGGGACGGAAGAGTCACATAACTTGGGCTTCAGCCCCCAAAGTCCAACTCGAGCAACGTCTATGCTAGCAGGTAAAGCTATTCTTCTTTAAAGAAATAATGATCCTCAGCACTCAGCAGTAAAGTGTGTATTTGTTTTTTTCATCCATCAAAAATGATATAGTTGCATAATCTTTTGGAAAACTGGCTGGGTTTTTGGTGTCTTGTAGAGGAAGCTTTTTTGTTTGAAAATAATATAGACTAGCGATAACATTCCTTGTTTTTTATGTTTCAAATGTCTGAACTTGATAGACTCCTTTTGGTCAGTAAGAAATAGCTGGCTTTGTGCATTCAAATGACAATTTAGACACTTTAACTGCTGTATCTCATTTAAGTGTTTAAAGTGTTGTGAGTCCTCTGGCACCATCCTTCTATTTTAATGG